ATATAAATTTGAATTTGTATTTGATTTGATTTTCAAATCAAATATTCAAATGTCAAATCGAATTGCGGAACCCTAATAATTATTATTATTATCTAATTTTCAATTAAAATTATTTGTTTTAAAAAATTATATTAAATTATATAATATTTAGTTAAACTAACTATATTAATATTTTTAAAACCTAAATATTACTATATGATATTAAAATAAATGGATTGTGATTTAAGAAAATCAAGTTTTGAAAATTTTTTGATTAGAATTAAATTAAAATACAATTAAAATTTCAATTTTGATAAAAAAATTCTTAGAACTTGATTTTTTAAATTACAATCCAAATAATATTAAATAATATTTATAAATTATTTTAATTATTATTTTTTCTTAAGGATTTCTTTCTTTTAATAAAAGTAAAATTAATAAATAATATGAAAAATTTGCTAGAAAAATAGGGTTTTAAGTATTTTTTATTAAAATTATAATTTTTATTGCATTTTAATCTAATATTATCAAATATTAAAATGAAATAAAAATTAAAATTTTAATAAAAAATACTTAAAGTTCTATTTTTCTAACAAACCTTCTATATATTTTAATTATAACATCTACTATTAAAAAATTTTTTATTAAATTTTTTTTATAATTAGTTTATTTAAAATCTATCTATAATACTTATTATTTCAAATTAATTAATTATAAATCAATTAATAAACAATTTAGACTAAATTAAAACAAATAAAAAAAATGATTCTCTTAATATATTATCATATGATAGGTTTGTTAGAAAATAGATTTCTAAAAATTTTTAACTTTAGAATTTTAATTTAATATCATTAAAAATTAAAATGTAAAAAAATCAAAATTATTTTAAAATATTTTTAGAATCCTATTTTCTTAATAAAGTTTTTATATTTTTATAAAAAGATATAATAATGGTTTAAAAAATCAGAAATTATAAAAAATGAAAAAATTTATCAAACTTATTTTAATTTTAATCAAATCTATTTTGATGTTAATTAATTCAATTACTTTTAGATTCAGTAGATATATGAGGCCTTTGCAATAGAAAGGAGGGAAACAGCCGGAAAAATCAAAAGTGAGTTAATGCTAAATTTGAACATATTTCAGCATAAAAATCATATTTGGCATATAAAGTAAAATTGATTTTTCCCGGCAGTTTCCCCCCTTTCTATTGCAAAGGCCCCATATGTTATTTTTTTAATGATTATCTTAATAATTACTTAAAAGCTGTTATTTATAAATAATAAAATTATAATGTATATAAAAAATATTTAAACATTAAATTATTGCTTACTTAATTGCTTTTTAAAAGTTAAATTGTATTGTCTAATGCTAATAAATCTGCAGTTTTAAAGAAATAATCTCTTTATATTTAAATTTTTTAATATATTTTTCTTTTTAATAATTATTTTATATTAATATTTAATTTTATTACTTTTATTTTTTATGTTTTTTAGCAATTTTATAATTTTATTTATTTAACTTGTAAAATATTTATTATAATATTAAAAATAAATATTTAGTTAATTTTCTAATTAAAAAATAATTAATTAATAATAAATATAAATAAATAATACATATTTTTTTTATCGCTTTTTCAATTATTTTATCTTTTATTTCTTATTTCTTATTATTAGAAAATTTTATATCAGAAAAAGATATTTATTAGACATTTTACTATTTATATTAGTTAATATTTAAATTATAAAAAATTATAAAAAATTAAATCTGATATTATAATATTAAAAAAAAAAAAAGAATTTAAATTTAAATAATAAAAAAGATATTCTATTTATGTATTTTTTAAAATATTATATTAAATAAAAATTTAAATATCAATTATATAACTTTATGAAAATTTCTAATTTTAACTGGAGGGAAAATCACCGGTTGATCACGTGATATAAAATCATGTGATCTAAACATATATAATCATCATAATAACTGTAATATAATACCAATAAATATATACAATATTATGATATAAACATCACAATTTAACTTAATTGAAACTTAATCAAATACTAACTAATTTCTAATTCCGAATTATAATCCCTAACCTTAATCACGAACTCTAATCACTAATCCTGATACTAACCCTAATCCCAAATAATAATTCCTAACTCTAATCCTGAACTCTAATCACTTATCCTAACACTAACTCTAATCTCGAATAATAATCCCTAACTCTAATCCTAAACCCTAATCACTAATCCTAACACTAACTCTAATCCCGAATTATAATCCCTAACCCTAATCCCGAACTCTAATCACTAATCCTAATACTAACTCTAATCCCGAATAATAATCCCTAACTTTAATCCTGAACTCTAATCACTCATCTTAACTATAACTCTAATCTCAAATAATAATCCCTAACCCTAATCCCAAACCTAATTACTAATCTTATCCACTAACTCTAATCCCCTGACCTAATCTGTAAAAAGTAAAATGATTAGAATAGCATTACAATAAAATAACCAATCGGAATATTATAATAAAGTCTTTTCAATAATAAAGCAATATAATTTTTATTGGTAATACAGCTAATACATATAACATAAATATCAACAGCATATACATTGAATAATAAAACAACTTCACAATATTAAATTATTCCTTGTTAATTTTGCATGTATGTTACCCTATTATGTCCTTTATTTCCACAGTTTTGACATATTTTTCTCTTATCAATTTCCTTGACACTATCATTTGTATTATCAGATTCATTAGATTTTAATAAATAACGCTTTTTCCTAGCATGTTGATATTGTACTTCAACAATACTCTTAGCTCTTCCAGCCAATCTTTCTTTTTGTGTAATAATTATAGGATTCTTAATATTAGTAACATCTTCTATTTCTATTTCTAATTCTTGATTCCTTTGCTTATCCAATATAAATTCATGACAAATACCTATAAATTCATCATAAGAATTAGTAGTAATTGCTATATTAATTACTTTTCAGGTTATATCTTGAGCTCGACCATATTTCTGTTGAGTACTATTAATTTCTTGTAATGTTGGATTATAAGCCTCAGAATCTCAGATTTGCTTGATATAATCAAACTTATATATCAGATTATCATCATTATTTTGGTTTTGATCTGATGTTATACACAAAC